TCATGGCTTCAGGATTTGGAAAGTGTTTCATAGACTTATAGAAACTATCATCAGTTGGAGACCCCTCTCCCCAGCACCAACTGCTGCTCTGGGCCAGAGTGAAGAGAAAGGGGGCCAGGGGACAGTTCCACCTTGTCTCCTGCATATGCCATCAATTTGGGGACCCCTCCCTCCAGGACCAACTGCTGCTCTGGTAGAGTGAAGAGGGGGGGGGGAGAAGACAGTTCCATCTTGCTCCTGTATATGCCATCAGTTGGGGACCCTTCCCACAGCACCAACTGCTGCTCTGGGCTAGGCTGAAAGGGGGGGGGGCAGAAGACAGTTCCATCTTGTCTCCTATGCTATTCTAATAATATAATGTAATATAATATAATATATTGTATATACATATAATATTTATAATATTATAATGTAATGCAATATACTACTACTGTAGTAGTAGTGGATCTGTAATTGGTTAAGTGGACGAACACAGAGAGTGCTCACTAATGCTTCCTCTTCATCTTGGAAAGAAGTGACAAGTGGAGTGCCACAGGGTTCCGTCCTGGGCCCGGTCCTGTTCAACATCTTTATTAATGACTTAAATGAAGGGCTAGAAGGCATGATCATCAAGTTTGCAGACGACACCAAATTGGGAGGGATAGCCAATAGTCCAGAGGACAGGAGCAGAATTCAAAACGATCTTGACAGATTAGAGAGATGGGCCAAAACTAACAAAATGAAGTTCAACAGTGACAAATGCAAGATACTCCACTTGGCAGAAAAAACGAAATGCAAAGATACAGAATGGGGGACAATGCCTGGCTCGAGAGCAGTACGTGTGAAAAAGATCTTGGAGTCCTCATGGACAACAAGTTAAACATGAGCCAACAATGTGATGTGGCGGCAAAAAAAGCCAATGGGATTTTGGCCTGCATCAATAGGAGCATAGTGTCTAGATCTAAGGAAGTAATGCTACCCCTCTATTCTGCTTTGGTTAGACCATATCTGGAATATTGTGTCCAATTCTGGGCACCACAATTCAAGAGAGATATTGACAAGCTGGAATGTGTCCAGAGGAGGGCGACTAAAATGATCAAGGGTCTGGAGAACAAGCCCTATGAGGAGCGGCTTAAGGAGCTGGGCATGTTTAGCCTGAAGAAGAGAAGGCTGAGAGGAGATATGAGAGCCATGTATAAATATGTGAGAGGAAGCCACAGGGAGGAGGGAGCAAGCTTGTTTTCTGCTTCCTTGGAGACTAGGACGAGGAACAATGGCTTCAAACTACAAGAGAGGAGATTCCATCTGAACATTAGGAAGAACTTCCTGACTGTGAGAGCCGTTCAGCAGTGGAACTCTCTGCCCCAGAGTGTGGTGGAAGCTCCTTCTTTGGAAGCTTTTAAGCAGAGGCTGGATGGCCATTTGTCAGGGGTGATTTGAATGCAATATTCCTGCTTCTTGGCAGGGGGTTGGACTGGATGGCCCATGAGGTCTCTTCCAACTCTTTGATTCTATGATTCTACTATAATAATAATAATAATAATATGATATAATTATATATTTATATTACATGTAATATTACTAATACTATTACAATACTATGGTATAGTACAATGTAGTAATATTTAATACTGATATTGTATTATGCTAATAATATAATATATTTTGTGTGTGTGTGTGTGTATTGTAAACCACTCTTAGTCCCCTTTGGAGTGAGAAAGGTGGCATATAAATGCCGTTAATAAATAAATAGAATGATAGAGTTGGAAGAGACCACGTGGGCCATCTGGTCCAACCCCTGTCATGTATTATTACGGTTTTCTATATCATTACATAATGTTTCTATATTATTAAATTGGGCCTATGCTTTTTAGTTCCTTAGTCCGATGCCTATTCGTGGCATCAATGGAATTCGATAGGATCCTTTCCTTCATACAGATCCTATCCTTTGTTTACTGTGATCAAATTGGTTGTAATGGGATCCACTTCCGTGGCAAAGTATTTAGGATTCTCAAGCAGCAGTTAGCCCCGTTTCGCAGAACAATCCCTAAAATCCAGTGGCTAAAACTCACAAACCAGTTCAGCTAAAGTCACTTCCAGCATAGGGTTAATAATCTGGGCAGCCTTCTCGTTTTAAAGCAAGGATTTTGTTCCAAACGAGTGTGAGAAATCCATCGAACTGGGATGAATTAGTATCTCCAGGTCCATCTCTACATTAGAATTAATGTAGTTTGACATCAGCCACCAGTTTAAAAAGTAGTAGGGTCTTCTCGTCTGCTTTGGGGACGAGGATGCTGAGTCCTGCCCAAATAACTTCTTTCTTGTGACCATAGACCAAGAATTGAGGACATCAGCTTCAAATGTCCCAATATCCCAATCCCGCGCCATTACAGAGAAACCCGACACTTTTGCTCAGAAACGAGTCTGTTTAGCACAGTGGTTCTCAACCTGGGGTCCCCAGATGTTTTTGGCCTTCAACTCCCATAAAGCCTAACAGCTGGTAAACTGGCTGGGGTTTCTTGGAGTTGTAGGCCAAAAACATCTGGGGACTCCAGCTTGAGAGCCACTGGTTTAGCAACAGTCCCAAGGAATCCCGGACAAAAAACAATCAGGGCCAGCTAATCAACAAAGGATTCCGCTAGGCAGGAAGCAGCCAAGCTTTGGAGCTGCAAGGCTATTCAATGCTAATCCAGGTGATCAATTGCAACATTCACACTTGCCTCGAAGGACAAGAGTTCTTTCTCCCACCCTGGATATTCCACAGATATATAAAGCCCACTTGTCAGTTTCCAACAAACTCACAACCTCTGAGGTTCTGGAACATGGGCATACAGTCCGGAAAACTCACAGCAACCCAGTGATTCCGGCCAGGAAAGCCTTTGACAACACACTAAGTTTTAGGATCACAACCCAAACCATTTTGAACTATGCTTTGGACTGAGCCAATGGAATCACTTCTCTTGCCTGTTTCTCCAGCAGGAAGTCTTCTCCTGGGATAATAAATACTCTTCCCACGAAGAGCCAATTGTTTTATTTACTGAAAATCTCAGCTCGTTTCAGCAGCACTCTGACACCACCTTCCTTTAGGATACAAATCCTGTCCTAAAGTTGTGTGTTGTGTGGGTTGCTGTTGTGTGCCTTCAAGTTGTTTCCGACTTAGGGTGACCATCAGGTGAAAACATCGYGATAATACGGTATCTGTGTGTCTGTGCTGAGCATTTGTTCAGAGGGGTCTTGGCAGTAGATGAACGGAGAGGAATTGTGTGTGTGTATGTGGGGGGGGGGGGATGGAAAAAGTCGGGGAGAGGATTCACAAATCTCAATAATTTCAAGGGGCCTCTTTCTYTAGGTGGGACCAACACTGGAAGCGCACCTTCTCCAGTCATGGGTAAACTTGGGCCCTGCAGATGTTTTGGACTCCAACTCTCACCATTCTTAACAGCCTCTGGCCCTTTCCTTTCCRCCATCAGTTTAAGTGGCTYAGGGAAAAAAGGAAGGGGCCAGAGGCTGTTAGGAATGATGGGAGTTGGAGTCCAAAACACCTACAGGGCCCAAGTTTGCCCATGCCTGATCTACACTGTGGAATGAAAGCAGTCACTTTATTTAACTCTGCCTCAGGCTATGGGATACTGGAAATGCTAGTTTTATATGGTCTTCTACCTTCTCTGCCAAAGAGTACAGGTGCCTCACTAAACTGTAACTCTCATAATTCCATAGCAGTGAGCCATGACAGTGAAAGGCATGTCAAACTGCATTCATTTCACATGTGTCAAACTTAAGACCTGTGGGCCAAATCTAGCTCGCCCTGTCATTTTATATGGCCCTCCAGAAGCTGGACTACAAGCCCCATCCTCCCGACTGAACAGAACAAATGTTCCTGTATCACAACTCCCATCAGCTCCAGTCATGATGCTAATGATGAAGAATCCAGGAGTTGCCATTCCCATGATCTCCAGTCTGCATGGCGGAAAATTCCAAAGCGTGGGAGCTGTTCAATAACATCTGGAGACCCAAACGGGGTGAAAACGAAAGAGCACCGACCATATGTTTAAAAAGAGTCGCTCTCCCTCTGTATCCACGGATTCTCCGGATTCTCCGTCCATTGATTCAAGGGCCCTTTGAAAGCTGATGTGACCCTCAAGGACATGAGTTTCACCCCAGGGGAAAGAACCCTTGGATTCACTTGAGGGCCTCATTACACTAGAGCAGTGGTTTGCAACCCCGGGTCCCCAGATATTTTTGGCCTACAACTCCCAGAAATCCCAGCCAGTTTATCCGCTGTTTGGATTTCTGGGAGTTGAAGGTACCCACAGTTTGAGAACCACTGCACTAGAGAATGAATCCACTTGAAATCCAGTTGCTGTCTCCTGCAGAATTCTGTCGTTTCTCCTTTAGGGAGCGGCCTTTAACAGCTTCACTGAAAAAAAAAAGTGGCGCAGTGGGTCAAACCCTTGTGCCGGCAGGACTGAAAACCTCCAGGTCTTAGGTTCGAATCCGGGTAGAGTGTGGATGAGCTCCCTCTATCAGCTCCAGCTCCTCATGCGGGGACACGAGAGAAGCCTCCCACAAGGATGGTAGCACATCAAAACATCTGGGCGTCCCCTGGGCAACGTCCTTGCAGACGGGCAATTCTCTCACACCAGAAGCGACTTGCAGTTTCTCAAGTCGCTTCTGACACGATAAAACAACAACAAAACCTAAACTACAAACCTCAGAATTCTGCAGGAGGCATAAAACGGATTTAAAATGGATTCGTTCTCTAGTGTGATAAAGTAGTTGGCGTGAAGTGAGTCCCAAGAGTGGAAAGAGGGAGGGAGCACCCCCAACCCCCCCTCCTCAAACCGAAGGGTCGTCTTCCGCCTTGCCCTCCCCCCTTTGCCCCTTACAGATGGTTTGCCTCGCTCCCCTCCGATCATATGGGGGGGGGGGGGGCGTTGTCGGTCAAGTGAACCTGGGCGGCTTCTCTGCGGGAGGCGTGGAGCCCCCCACTCAAGACCTGCTCCTCCTCCTCCTCCTGTCCCTCCCTCCTTCCCTCCCTCCCTATCTCTCTCTCTCTCCGGGCGTCGTCGGGGCCAGTGGGTGGGCCATGTCCACGGGCTCCTTGAGCGACGCCGAGGAGCTGCCGGAGATGGAGCTGCGAGGGCTGCAGCTGGGCTTCCCGGGGCTCCCCCGCTCCAAGCGGCGCCCCCGCGGCCATTCCTCCGCTGCCGAGGAAGAGGAAGAGGAGGAGGAGGAGGAGGAAGAAGAAGACGAGGATGAAGAGGAGGAAGTGGTGTCGGCCAGCAAAAAGAAGCGAGCCAAGGGAGCGGGGCTGGGAGGAGGAGGAGGAGGCGGCGGCAAAAGGCAGCTTCCTCCCTCGTCGTCGAGGGGCAGCAGCAGCGTGGGCAGCGCGTCGGCGGAGTGCAAGCAGTCCCAGCGCAACGCGGCCAACGCGCGGGAGCGGGCGCGGATGCGGGTGCTGAGCAAGGCCTTCTCGCGCCTCAAGACCAGCCTGCCCTGGGTGCCGCCGGACACCAAGCTCTCCAAGCTCGACACCCTGCGCCTGGCCTCCAGCTACATCGCCCACCTCCGCCAGCTGCTCCAGGAGGACCGCTACGACAAGGCCGGCTTCGTCCACCCCGTCAGCCTGGTAAGGTCCCCAGCGCCTTCCTCAGGGCCCAGGGGGTTGGCACTGCTTGAACTGGGGAGTCCTGGGAGTCCTGGTTGGCTGGGAGCGAAGCATTCTTGAGGGATAAGTCCTAGGATTCCGTAGCACTGAGCCAGGGCAGATCAAGCAGTGTCAAACTGCAGTCACGGTTTAGAGCTGGGTAGATGCGGGGAATGCCGTGGATGTTGCGTACCTGGATTTCAGTAAGGCCTTCGACAAGGTCCCCCATGACCTTCTGGCAAGGAAACTAGTCCAATGTGGGCTAGGCAAAACTACGGTGAGGTGGATCTGTAACTGGTTAAGTGGACGAACACAGAGAGTGCTCACTAATGCTTCCTCTTCATCTTGGAAAGAAGTGACGAGCGGAGTGCCGCAGGGTGCCGTCCTGGGCCCGGTCCTGCCCCGGAGTGTGGTGGAGGCTCCTTCTTTGGAAGCTTTTAAGCAGAGGCTGGATGGCCATCTGTCAGGGGTGATTTGAATGCAATATTCCTGCTTCTTGGCAGGGGGTTGGACTGGATGGCCCATGAGGTCTCTTCCAACTCTTTGATTCTATGATTCTATGATTCTATGATTCTATCCTCAAACTTTTTAAACAGAGGGCCAGGCCACAGTCTCTCAAACTGTTGAAAAAAAAATGAATAGATTTCTATGCACACTGCACAATATTTGTAATCCAAAAACACTTAAAAACAATACAATAATTAAAATGAAGGACAATTAAAAATATAAACTTATTAGTATTTCAATGGGAAGTGTGGGCCTGCTTTTGGTTGATGACTAGGATTGTTGTTGTGTGCTTTCAGGTCATTTCAGATTTAGGTTGCCCTGAGCTAGGGCCAAGTAAATGACCTTTGGAGGGCTGTATCTGGCCTAGGCCTTAGTTTGAGGACCCCTGGTTTAGTATATATCAGGCATGGGCAAACTTTGGCCCTTCGGGTGTTTTGGACTTCTAACTCTCATTAGGAATTGTGGGAGTTGGAAGTTCAAAACACCAGAGGGCCAAAGTTTGCCCATGCCTGGTGTAGATACATCATGTTCACCTATAGATACACCATGTCCACACTCAGTCTTGAGAAACTGGTGACAAAAATGTGCAAAAGGAAAAGGCAGTCGAGTTGTAGTGTTGACCATTTTATTATACAAAGAGTGTTGGTGCCAAATTAGAGCTCCCATGACTCCATGGCGTTGAGCCATGACATTTAGAGTGATGCCAGCCTGCATTCATTCTATAGCAATGGTTCCCAACCTGTGGTCCATGGACCACCAGTGGTCTGCAAGAACTAAAATGTGGTCCGCAGACACACCGGTGCAAAACCCTCATATATTGCTGAGGCTTGTTAAATATGGTTTTCTGTGGGTGAGCAGATGGCAATTACTGGATGGCATATGTTCTGTATCAGAATCTAGAGCTGATGTGGTTGATCCAGCAAATTTCTGAATCAGCCCCCCAAATGACCAAACCAAATCTAAAGTTGACCAAAAAACTGACTCTTAACCCTTTTGGTACTAATGTTGGAGAGTGGTCCCTGGTCAAGTGGTCCCTGATCAAAAATAGGTTGGGAACCACTGTTCAACAGTGTTGAAACACCCTCAGTCACAGGTTTGCAACAGAATCTGCATCTGTGTTGCAAGGGTTTCTGCCAGAAGAGAATCCGAGATATACCCTGTTTCCTTGTAATTCTAAGTTTAGAAAATGTATCATCATCATCATCATCATCATCATCATCATCATCATCATCATCATCAAATTCTTTGGTAGAGAAGGCTGGAAACCTTGTTTATTATTTTTCTAAAATAATATTAACAATAATTTTCTTTCCCACCTATTCTCAAGGCAGGGCACAACATAGTTTTTTTTCCATGTCAGGAGTGACTTGAGAAACTGCAAGATGCTTCTGGTGTGAGAGAATTGGCCATCTGCAAGATGTTTTTGATGCTTTACTATCCTTGTGGGAGGCTTCTTTCATGTTCCCTCATAGGGAGCTGGAGCTGACAGAGGGAGCTCATCCACGCTCTCCCCAATTCAAACCTCTGACCTGTCAGTCTTCAGTCCTGCCAGCACAAGGGTTTAACCCATTGCGCCACCTGGGGCTCCTACAACATAGTTAAAATATGTACATAGATAAAAACATAAAACCACTGAAAACACACATATTTTAAAAGACATATGATTAAAACACACCCAAATCATTCATGCCAATCAATCCCACTTTAAAGTCTATAGTTTCAAATTGACTGGGTAGCACTTCTCTCAACAAAAATAGCTAATGTTTATATTCCACCTGTCTTTCACTAAACTCAAGATGGCATACTTCCTCCTGGTGAAAAGTGTGGACCCCTATCATTATGTGCCCTTGAGTCACCTGTCAGCTTATGGCAACCCCATGGATTCATAGAAGTTTTTAAAAGAAAAGAATCCTTTTAGGCAGACAATTTTGCTAGATTCTTCCTGAGTGCCAGAAACATCCATTGAAACATCATTTTCAAATTATCAGGAGGGAAATAGAAGATGTGGGAAAGATCAGTTTACCCCTTTAAGCTCATCTATGAACTCATTTTAGAAACCTCTGGAATAAAGAGAGAAAAGCCAGCTGAGTTTGTCTTCTTTCCTCCCCTTCTGAGAAATGCTTTTTCCTTCTGAATGCTACAGTTGTATTCCTAGCTTGAGAGAAGAGCTTTCAGTGCAGAGGGTGGCCTACGAGTGGGTTTAAACTCTCCTTCCCTCCATCTTTGAAATCTTAGTTTTTGTTTTTGTCTAAGTTGATGATCTGAATTAGTTGCTAAATCAAGTAAGAGCTGGTTTGGTGTTTCAAAACACCTCCTTTTTTCATTCTAAAATGGAGTAATTGACTCATTTCACAGACTCTACAGTCCCAAAACGTTCTTCGATGGTGAGGAAAGCAAGCACAACTTACTTTTCCTTTTTGACTCTTTCTTGCTCTTCCTCTGTTTGTTTGTGTGTGTGATAAAGAGAGAGAAAGAAACAAAGAAAGCACTGTTGATGTGGTCATAATATGGCTGTGTTTACAGTTGTGGGAATTTTAGCAGGTACAGAATAAGGAAGAAAGTTTTACCGTGAGGTATCCAAGATGATTCAAGCAGAGCCTAGAAACATTAACTATGTAGACATCAGCTCTCAGATTTCCTAGACAGCATGGTCACTGGGAGATATTTGGAGTTGTACTACAAAGGGGAAACATGAGCTGTTTAAAGTTTTGAAAACTCCTTACTGGTAAATTTGAATCCTCTTAAACCACAGTCCTTGTAGATTTATGCTTAGTCCTGCTTCCTCCCAAAGAATCAGGTACAGGCTTGTAGACTTGGGTTGCGTTCCTGAGTCTTTTTATTTGGTGCTAGAAGGCTCTGTGTTGGGATTACCAACAGACATTATCCCCACTTTTTTTACTTAGTTGTGGCTTCTTTTGGTGCAGCAATAAAATGGAGAAGCTGTATTCTCATACTTAGAATCTTAGAGTTGGAAGAGACCACATGAACCATCCCGTCCAGCCCCCTCCCATGCAAGAAAACAATGAAAGCAACCCTGATAGATGTCCATCCAACCTCTGTTTCAAAACCACAAGAGAAGGAGACTCCATCACACTGTGGTGCAGCATATTCCATTGCTGAACAGCTCTTACCATCAGGAAGTTTTTCTTAATGTTTAGGTGGAATATTCTTTCCTGCCATTTGAACCCATGTCAGAGTCTCCAGAGGAGCAGAAAACAAGCCTACCCCCTCCTCAATGTTGCAGCCTTTCAAGTATTTAAATATAGTTATTATGTCCCCTCTCAACCTTCTTTTCTCCAAGCTAAACATACCCAGATCCCCAAGCCTTTCTTCATAGGGCTTGGTTTCCAAACCTTTGATCGTTTTGGTTGTCCTTCTCTGGACATCTTGTAGCTTTTCAAGATCCTCCTCCTAACCATACAGAATGGTCCTGCTATTCTAGGCTTTTAAATGTATGTCTGCCAAAAAAGCTTACCTTTCTGGATGTTAAATCACAATCAGCAATGTATACTGTAACTGTAGGTTTTGTTGTTATTCAAAAACTTTTAAAAATGCAACAGCAGCCAGAATACTATGAGACACTGGCCCAATATGGTCCTAAATAATAAGGCTGCATCCTATAATCCAGTTTTAAAAATATGACTGAGTGAAACTATCTCTGTTGCATTACAATTGAACTGTAATTTAGATACTGAAAAGGTAATGAGCAATTCAGTATTTGTAATGTTATTTTCAGGTCTTGGTTTCAATGGAGGCCTTCAAAATTTGAAGTAACAAATCCTGTAAATTCTGCACTGAGTAGAATATTAGTATTTTTTTTCTCCTGGTCTTAGAACCTACACTCTCTATTTTGTTGCATTCATCTATCATATTGGAGCTAGTTTTTTTTTTTGCTTTCATTTACATCATCTAATTTATAAGTTCTCTGCCTTCTTTTTCTTTGGTTGTCATTAACTGCTTCACTAGAAAGTCAGTTCAATTCTGATATTCCTTCTAGGCAATGTGCTCCAACTCTTTAATTGTACCAATAGCCCCTTTTAAAGTTCTATAGCATCTTTTGTGTTCTGTTGCATCTTTTCTTTAGATGGATCTAGAATAGTGGTTACCAACCTTTGGTGCTCCAGGTGTTTTGGACTTTAGCTCCTACTATTTCCAGCTGGTCAACTGACTGGAATTTCTGGGAGCTGAAGTCCATAAAACTGGAGGGCCAAAGGTTGAGAACCACTAATCTAGGATGTAGTATAAATAAAGGACTAAATTCATTTGTCAGAGTAGACAATTCAGTCAGTGGAACCTATTTAACCCATTAATTCAGTGAGACTGACATATCCAATTTAGCCCTAAAATTGCTGTAAGTTACTCTTCATTTTTTTTTAACAAGACAACCTTCTTGGTCATTTTTAATTGAAGTTGTGCCTAAAAGCAAACATAAAAGTGAACACAATACAAAATACAACAAACATAAATTCAGACTCAATCAAGCTGCGATTCAATGAGCTTACCACTTGCAATCCATGATCTATGATCCAATTCAGGTTTGATGACACACAAGGGATGAAATACAGCCCCCAAAACCAGCTGTGAAACAATGGAGCCAGTCTGTATCTTATGGTTTAATGCTTTAAAGAAGTGGCATTCATAGATTTAAGACATGGATTGCTCCAATCTAAGAATACTGAAATCGAGCATTTATTTTCTAGGTAGCACTAGGGCAGTCAAAATATAGTTCCTAAACTAAAAGGAACCAAAAACATAGGCATAAGTTATGGTCTCTGTGTACTCCCCTTTTCATTAAAGTGAATTCAATTTAACAAGCTCGAAGTAGGCCATATCTCCGTCTGGCACAAATATGCATGAAGAACATAACTCAGAAAAGTTACTTTTTAGAAAACAATTCCCTGATTCTCCCAACTAGCATGGGCCAGTAGATGATTATGGGAATTGTAGGATATCCAGGCTCAGCTTTAAAGGTATAGATATGCATATGTGAGTAGTACACGCAGAAGGCCACACATTATACATATTATAGTAAATGTGATAGGGTTAATTTGACTAACAAAATATTATTTAAAACATATTGACTTACTGAAAACCATATTAATTTAATTTAATAGAATTTCCTGAAATAAGATTTGACAATAAAAGCAATGAACATGAATCATTCTAGGAAGAGGTATTCTATTTCATCTAAAGGATAAAGATTTCCCCTTGACATTAAGTCTAATCGTGTCCAATTCTAGGGGGTGGTGCTAATCTCTATTTCTAAGCCAAAGAGCCAGTATTGTCCATAGATGCCTCCAAGGTCATGTGGCCTGCCTGACTGCACAGAGCACCTTTCTGCCAAAGCAGTACCTATTGATCTACCCACATTTGCATGTTTTCGAACTGCTAGGTTTGCAGAAGCTGTGGCTAACAGTGGGGGCTTACCCCGCTCCCCGGATTTGAACCACGAACCTTTTGGTCAGCAAATTCAGCAGCTCAGTGGTTTAACCTGCTGCACCACCGGGGGCTCCATCTCATTTACTTGCCACTTTAAGATTGTGCCAGTGTCACATGTATGAATAACATAAGAAGAGTATACTTCCTAGATATTGTACTGATATACACACTTTAAGTGGCAAAAGTTCATCAGACTTTTGGGTGAAAGTCTAAAAACAAGTATTACAGTCCTTAATGCAATCTTTTAAAAGAATAAATGCAGGAAAAAACAAACACTTATGTTGTACTTACTCTAAAACAAAGAAACAAGGAGGTAAGGCAATCAATACAAACACATTTACAGTAGAAATAATCCTTTAAAAAGTCAACAGTAAGAGCAGCATGTGTAAGAATATGATACTAGCTCACAGCAGAACACTATAATAGCAGTAATACATGAGTTTTGTGATTTATTCACATGGACTCTGGGCAACTTTGTAGCTCACCATACTGTTTATCAAAATGCCAGTTCATATGCACCTGAAATTTGCAAAAACACCTTGGGGTTTTTCACGGGAAGAATGTAGCATATTCCCTCAATTTTTACTGAACCAAAATATATTGGTGTGTCACAGTATGTTCGCAACACCAAAGCTAAGCACTAAGCAGCACAGTTATGATCAGTGCAACCCCAAATCGTGATCTATAAGTGTATGGTAAGATACAGGATGCTCCTGTTCATCTTTGTAGCACAAAAAATGTGACTTTACTTCTCGCTACTTCAGAAAAGTTATGGCAGTTTGAATATATTGTATCTGATTTTTAAGTACACTTTTAAGACCCCACTTTTTGGCAAGTGGGGACAAATGAAGAGCAGTTAAAGTTCATATATCATATATCATTCATATATCGCAATCCCTCTTTCTAACACAGAATGCTACTTTAATTTACAGACCTGGCCATTTATGGTTTCTGGAAGACCAGAATCTGATGCCAAAGAGGTTTCAGCAGCCAACAGATTATGTGGAACTACAGCTTAGTTCTAGTGAGGAGTGCTCTTGCTGAATATGACTGCAAAAACCCACTGACTTCTGTGGACGGAAACTGAAACAAAGGAACCAACTCTTCTTGTTCACTTGCAATGAAAAAATACACCCGAAACACATACTAACAGAGGAGGAAATAAGAGTTCACTGAACATCCTGGTGGGTTTGGAATGATCTTTTTCAGTGTTATGATCTGAAGAAAACCTTTGAGGCATTTTGACTAACAGAAGATATAGAGGAGGTTAACTTTGATAGAATTAACAGCATGGACCAAATTATAGATTGTATGAGATAATCCCAAACAGTGTTATTTGTATACCAGAGGAAAGTGGTATTCTAGATTAGTGTTCAGACTCAAATTTTATAATATATTTGACCTTATGTTCTTGGCAGCTATGCAATAGTAAGACTACTTCTGTCATTTTAGCCAACTTTTAAAAACTGAAGATGACAAGGTGCTTCTTTAAGATTGAAATTAAATTAAATTATTTGTATTTACCGATGGTGGTACTAAATTTGCTTAGAAGAAAAAAATGCCAGAAGTCCTTGAGAGGGTTATGGATTAATGATAGAAAGATCACTTTGTGGGCTAATATTTTTGCATCATATTTTTGTATCGAAGATAATGCTACAGAAAACTATCATTTAAAGAATTGCATTCTGTGAAAATGTAATGATGTCTTAACTTGAAGTAAGAAGATTGTTTACTTAAGACTAGGATTTGTATGTTTGATAAAAAATGGCTTTTAACATGGCCTGAGACTAAATGCATCTCAAATATATTTCTCCCACACCTTTTGGCTCTATGAAGTAGTCACTGTTATAGTGTTCCGATTGTGAATGATGTTACAATCAATATTTCAAATGTAAATAATTTTTATTTTTATACACAGCATTAAAAGTTTTGCTTACAATATTGCAAAGTCCTAGTCATTGTTGAAATTGCTGAACATTGTAATGACTGAAAAGTCCCTACTACAACTTGAATGGATTCAGGAGAGGAAATTCTTAAAACTATTTCAGCGAATGTATTGGTGGCTTTTATATAACTTCACATGCAGTGAGGAAATGCAGTGGTAAGATTTCAATTTAATCTTGCTTAAAATGATGCAGGTTTCATTGATTTTAATTAGTTTTCAGTAAGCACGACTAAATTTGGAAATAACCCCATGCTGCATCAGGAAAGATGGACAACAGTAACTATTCATATTTACAGTTTTCAATATTGGTAAGTAGTTTATGTGGAAAGTGGGGAAACCTGAAAGTAAAAGCAATTCACACTTTTGACACCGTTTGGTGATGTCAAAATATTGCAAATACTGCTTTCCATTTCACTGGGAATGGCTTTTTAGAGTTTCCCTAGTGGAAAGGAAGTTTTTCCTTTCTGTACTCTTCCAGGGAACTGGTCTGAAATTCTATATTTGCAGATAATTTTTCTTATGTTTGGAGACTGAAGACTATGTTTAATATTTGAAAGAAAAGGAAGATATTTCTGAACAAGAATATTTTCCAGTATTTGTGGTTATTTCTATGTGCTGAGTGTGATCCTACCCATATCTTTTGAGTGAGAATTTTCGAAGTTTTTCTTCTTCGAGTGACAATTCTCCTGGAAAATGAGGGTTGGAGTGGGGAAGTTATGCACATACACAGGTATTTCTGGTTTATATGCCAGGAAACCATTTTCTTTCCTATTTTTTGAGAAACTGCAAGTTACTTCTGATGTGAGAGAATTGGCCTCTGCAAGGATGTTGCCCAGGGTAAAACACCCAGATGTTTTACTATCCTTGTGGGAGGCTTCTCTCATGTACCCACATCGGAAGCTGGAGCTGACAGAAGGGAGTTCACCCAACTCCCTGGATTCGAATCACCAACCTTTTGGTCAGCAGTCCTGCTGGCACAAGGGTTTAACCCATTGCGTCATCAGGGACCCCTTCTTTTCTACAAGAGCTTCCCTTATTATAGCCACTGCTAGAATGTCCAGATGTCAGAGATGATAGCAAAATAAAACAGCTCTCCATTTGTTCATTTAATGATATTTCTATGCTTGTATACACTTCAATCTCTGGGCATATACATAACTTATTCCTGCTACACGAGTAATAAAGATATAATTACAGCATTAAAACATCAAGCAAGCTTAAATGGCATTTGCAATAAGCCTTTGCTTATTCTCGCTTTCATTTAGAAATGCCATTGAGAACTTGCTCTAGTTCCCGAATAAGAGAAGGCGAAGACCAGCCCAATAGCTATTTTATTGAACAGGTTTAGGAGAAAATAAAAATGGGAAATATGACTTTTTGGATGTTTTTGAATTCTCATCCTCCCTTTCCACTGGATTTCTTGGCTAGTTTTACTATGCATTTCAGTCCAACAGCATATGGAGATATTATATTCCTTATCCTTGTAAAACGATGATGTTGCCATTTTCCCAGAAATTTTGATGAAATTAATTTAAACAGCACATGATTGTATTTACAGAATGCTTTTGTGTCTTTGTCTTTTGCAGAAAAAGAATCTCAAATAGCTTAACAGAGTTGTATCTGTTCCCTCCCACCCTTCTTTGGCTCTTTTAGCCATTCTTTTAAAGTGAAACAGAGAATTGAGTTACAACAATTTTGCTTAGGTGCTGCATGATAAGCCTATTTGTGGGTTCTGGCTATTCCTTGGAGCTCAGCCCAGCTGTAATTGGTTAATGACTCTTGGATATTGGAAAAACAAGGGAAACAATGGAGTAGTTTAAATAGTGTGCCAATGGAATGATCTGAAAAACATTTTGAAACACTTAATACAGTTAAAGGGAGAAGGGGAAAACATAATGGAAATTACTCTAGTTTTTGCTCAAAACAGAATAATATTATGATTTCAAGTTTATTTAAATAGGTCTTGCAATTTAAAAACAGCAAGCATTTTGGATTTTATTGAATCCTCACCATGAGAATTACTCTCTGAGATAACAGGGAGAAATTTATTTTTGACTACAATTCCCACGAACACCTTTGCTTGGTCATGTTGAGTGAATCTATGTCATACTAGGATGGATGTTTCCATTTCATCAGCAAAATTGTCTATTTCTCTTTGTCTGCAACTGCAGAATAGTTGTCCATCTGCATGACTAACACAGCGTGCATATGAATCCTATTGTATCCTACCTATAGCCATATAGTAACTGCAGTAATAATACACAATAATAACACACTTTATTTATATCCTGCTCTATCTCCCCCAGGGGACTCAGAGAGGATTACCACATACACAGATAGGCAAACATTCAATGCCCTTTAACACAGTGAAATAACAATGACACACAAATATACAGAACTAAGGTAAAGGCTTCACCTTTCATCTTTGGCTTCTGGAGGCAGTGCTCAACTCCAGCCATGGGGAGGTGCTCTTTCTCCACTTCCAAGCTGAGGAGTTTGCTGTCCATTGACACCTCCTGATCACTGGGTTGTTGTACATTTTTGGACTATATGGCCATGTTCTAGAAGCATTCTCTTCTGATGTTCCGTCTGCATGTATGGCAGGCATCCTCATAACCTCTGCCATAGATGCAAGAGAAATGTCAGAAGAGAATACTTCTAGAACATGGCCATATAGCCCAAAAAAACCGACAACCCAGTGATTCCAGCCATGAAAGTCTTCAACAATACTTCCTGATCATGTTGCCGGCATGGCTGCATGGGCACCTTTTATTACCTTACTACCAAAGTGGTACCTATTTATCTATTCACATCTGCATATTTTCAAAGTGCTAGGTTGGCAGGAGCTAGGGCTAACAATGGGAGCTCACCCTGACCTGTGGCTTCGAACTGCCAATCTTTAGGTCACAGATTCAACAGTTTGATGGTTTAACCTGTTGTGCCACCACCCCCATATATCCTATGTGTGCTGTAATAGTACAGCAGTGAGAGACATGTAGCTTTCAAAGTACTATTTAGCTTCAGTTTACATCATCGTCCATCTTGATTTATTGTAGTAGAGTACATCCTCTCACAATAAGCATATATGAGAGATAATACTTTGTTTATTAGTTGAAAAATAGGTTCCAATGTATTAATTGGGGTTTTGTCAAGGTACATGAAGACAGAATTGTAACTATGGTATGATGTAGAAATATGTAAGTCTTCCTTCAGACGAAGAAAACCTTTGACAATACATTTGTCAATAAAAACAATGACAACATCTCCTGATCAGTAATTTTAAGGACTCATTGGCTTAAAATATAACATCAATTAATCTAAGAAAATTCACAGCAGAAACACTCCACGGCTCCCTATCTTACATTGCTCAGGTAGTTTTCAATCTTTTCCAAAGCCTTTTCAGGAATTGCAGGTGGTTATTGGAGAGAGGAAAACCTGGTAAATTTCCTTTCCTGGTCCTGTCAAAAGTTGTGTTAACTTTGGCTCTAAGCTACTCCTTACAGATACAAAAAGTGAAGGTACTTCTTTTTGATGTTACATTGGGATTCAAGAGTTGCTCTAGAAATGTCACCCTATCATCACTCAAGATATGTATCTCTGTTATACAGAGAGCTTGCTGCCAGTGCATTTGTGTTTGGGACATAAACCACAGGATCTGAAAAGGTGAGAAAAAAATGGCTCTAAGAAAGATTTCAAATAAAGATGCTGCTTGGGTCACCTTGTACATAAAGGGATGTCTCCATGTGATCATATTATATGAATCATGGATAAGCAACTTCTGCCTGGCCTTTTCTTCTCAGAAGACCCCGAAACAGAACTTTTTAAGGACAGTAAACATCATGGTGTCTCTGAGGACAGTTAAAGTGTTGGACCATAAATTGGGAAATCCAAATTCTGGTCCCCACTTTGGGTTTGCTACTGGTTTGTACCTAATTTTCCTCATAACTTGTGAGAATAAAGTGCAGAGAAGGAGGAATATCATATCAATTGGATGGAAAGAAATACCAGAAACATAAAAGGGTAAAATATAATGAAGTCTCATGGTTAGGCTGGGTTATTATTGCTAGCATGGCCTTTGGCTACAAACATGTTCATGCTTTTATAACAAAAGGATACTTTCACCAGCATAATTTGTTTGTGATTTCCCCCCTTAGATTTAGTGAAATGCAAGTTTGTGGGATTCTGAAAGAAATGAATTGGCAAAAACGTAACAGTGCCAATATTTAAATGACTTCTCCGTTTAGTTGCATAAGTGAGATGCAAAGTAATTGCTTTTCCCTTTATTAAAGACTTTTCTATGGAGAACTTTGAACATGTTTATTCTTAATTGCATACTTTTGTCAAAATATTGTATCTCTCTCTTGATTGTCATTATAGAAAGAGTTAGATATGTATGATTTTATGCTTCAATTATTATAATAATACACTTTATTTATATTCCACTTTATTTCTCTGGAGGGGCTCAGAGAAGAATACAGAACACATATAAGGCAAAGAGTCAATGCCTTTTTACATGAACAACAACATTCAATACACAGACAAGGTAATAGCCTTCCCCTTTTTCCATCTCCGGCATCCGGAGGTGATGCTCAACTTCTGACCATGGGGAGGTGCTCTTGTTCTATTTTCCATGCCAAAGGAGCCTGCTGTCCATAGACATCTCCCATCTTTTTGCTGGCATATCTGCATGGGGCACTCAGTTGTGTTGAGTTATAAAGCTCAGTTGTGTTGTGTTTCATGTTCTAAATTGATGCTTTGTGGCTGGATCTACACTACCATATATTCCAGTTTCTGATCCGAGATTTTCTACTTTGAACTGGATTTATTTGAGTCTACACTGCCATATTATCCAGTTCACAGCAGATAACCTGGGATTAAAAACTGGATTATATGTCAGTGCAGTGAATATTATTCAATTGCGATCTGGAGCAAAGCATAGTTTTACAGTGAAATAAATACAAACTGTTTTACTATCTTCAATTGGATGATAACAT